TACATGAGTTATCATATCGAAACAATAAAGAAAGTCAAGAAATCTATCAAGAGAACATATAGGGAAAGCACCTGACAGAGCGAAAGAAAATATATAGTTATAGTTAATAACACATGTGTACAGAACGAAAGAAAACGAACATATATGGAAAAGACTTTTAACAACTTTTTCTTATGACACATCATATGTATGTGCCATAGCACATTTATCTCAAGTCTAGTGTCTATGAAAACTCTAAAATCAAGTTGGATTATTCAGTTTACTTTTCGTCAAAGCTTTTGATAAGGCGGAAACAAATCCTTTTTGAAAAAATGTTTCAATCACTCTCGGTTCTCGAGATGTGTTGAAGAAATGTTTATAAAGGAAGAGAAATAGGTCTAAATGACAGGAAATCCATAATAATGAAACAAAATAGAAGATATTCCGGACACATTTCTACGTGTTGTTTTTTTCTTCACTTAAAAAAAAACACTTTCGTTGTGTTGAATCTGAAAGCGTTACTTTGAAAGGGTATTTAAGAATTTCAATTTATTGACTAGAAACTTTAAACTATCCTCTACCATCAGTACAAAAGTCAGTTCATTCAATAGAACCATCATGTAGATATAAAGTTTTCTTTTTGGCCCATGACTTTCCGAGTACTCTGTACTTTATTTGACCTTATGAAATAAAAAAAAGGAATTTGTAACAAGAGATTGAAAAAAATGCATAAAAAGGCATCTGTTTTTATGCTAGATCCTTGATGAGGCGAGGCGATGACGAGACTAATATTTACAAAAAAAATCAGGGCGACGCGACGGCGAAACTCTTTTTCGACTGCGTTGCGGATCTCTGTTATTTATGGCAAATGAGATGAATATATCTTTGCTTCGATAACATTATCAATGATTTTTTTTCTCAGTTAGATATATATTTATATAATATAGAGTAATTTATGTTATCAAATATTGCAAAAGTTTAATCAACATTAGTAAATAGATAAAAAAGTCAAACTGTTCAAAGAACGTGTAACCCATAAATGAATGATCGATTTTTGTAGTTCTTTTTTTTTATCATCTAGTACAGTTATTATAAAAATAAAACATATCATAAGGCGCAACCTGAAAAGCTCTACAAGCTACATTAAAAAACCTGAATTTATATATGTGCCCTTTGTTTTCAAAATGCACAATATTATATGTGACGAATTTTCGACACTTAAAATTTATTTATACTTTAGTCAATGATCAATTCGCTTCGTTTTATCTTATCGACGAAAGACAATTCTACTCGTTGACGAAAAATATTTCTTATTAGAATGTGTTTATACTTCAAGTCGACAAGAGGCAAACGAATGAAGACAAAGACATAAACCAAAAAGATAAATATTCAAAAAGAATTATGGCGTGGTTAGGAACATCTGAATATGGTTTAAGCTCTCCAATTACAGTTAAACCTGGTGAAATGTTATCTCATGAGAATTATATTGAAGCTATTCGTCCACATGCACAAGCTAAAGATCAATATTTACTTAGTGATGATTTTATTGACCAACGGGATAACGCCACATCGTATACACATCAGAAATTATTGACATGATATTAGAAGAATTTCCAGGACTTCATAAACAATCACAGACAGTTAGCGAACAGTCTCGATCTCAACGTTCTGGATTATTCTATGTGGGACACTATCGCCAATAAGATTCAATGAAATAAAGTTAAAGCCTATGATTCATGAATTGATGAAATTAGATAAGGAATTCATCATGTAGCAATCAATGATTTTATTTGCAGCATCGAAAATTGTTCGCACAGAATTTTGTCCATTTTAAATACAAAGAATGAATACATAAAATAAGGCTTTCAATGTACCTTGTGGAACTTTTCACACTGCATCTTATGCTATATTTTGTTTTTAAAATAAACACTCTAGAAGATTAAAAAAAGAAATACAAAAATCGGCTATTCATTATGGATCACTCGTTAGTTTTCTAGTTTATTTTTTTCATAAAATTTTATTAAAATAATATATGGAAACTATTTAAAAAAAGATGGCAATGGTTCCCATAATACTTCCATATCGTTTGGCACGCTCACAATGAATGTTGGATAAATTCCCGAATGATAGCTTTCTTGATCTTGTAGTTCAAATTCTTTGAGTAATTTATAGCGCACAGCCATCCATGCACGACGTTGTTCAATTAGAGGATAACGCTCTAAATGGGCTTCTCCTGTTTCACTTTTCTTCTTGACATCATTATACCAATCAAATGCTTCTGATGAAAAAAATTNATTCTACGTTCACTTAGATTTAAACTGGTCAAAGAAAATTACTTCGTAATAGGATTAAAGTGTATTGTTTTTTTCTGACATGCTTGTTTGGATCCGCCTGAGTATATGCAAATATTTTTAGAAGAATTCTACGTGCATTCAAATCATACAGTGATATGGGATAAGCACGGTTTTTGTAAGAGTTCCAAATATTTTTAACTGCTCAACAAGCGATATTAGAACACAAATAAACATGCATGAGAATAGAGAATGATTGAATATATGAAAAGAACAATAAAAAAGATTTTTCTTTGTTTGTTTGATGCTTTAGAAACAAAAAGAACGAAAGGAAAAATTCATATAATTTTATACAACGAAAAGAGTATGTACATGTGTTGCAAAGGAAAGAAATACATACAAAAACTCAATTGAGATATAAATGAAATGCACAAATATTCAGTTGCTTATTTAAAAAATCTATTATGATAGAAACATAGAAACAATTCACTTAATGATATTGTTATAATTCTAATGTAGTATGTTGATTACTATAACAGAAATGAGGACACTGGACATCATATGAGCCAGAACAGATGCGATCGATGCTAATATTAAGTGATATATATTATATGAAAAAGAACAACTGACAATATCATTAACTACCGATTTTTCAAACTTCCATGTTCTCTAGCGCGATTACTGAAATATACTATACGCTAGTTTGAGAACACCCAAACATTTTATGATTATTTACTTCAAAAAATTATGAAGTATTTTCTATATACTTTGGATAACTTACAATAATTTTCATGCAAATAGGTTTAGAAATTCTTTAGAAATTACATGATAAACACTGAGTATATTTCTTTACAAACTATTCAGTTTAGAGATATAAATAAACATTCTCATATATATATATATACATATGCGTGTTTAGCGAAAAGCATTCAATAAATTACATTCAATTACTGACCAGAGAGCGTCACACAACAGCTTCTTTCATCCTGCACGACCATGGGCTCGCCTACATTCTACCTGCAGGACGATATTTTCATTGCATTTTTCACAAGCATAAAAACTTGTGTATATATGAGATACGAGGTCAACAAATAACATAGGCATAGTATTTATACAATAATAATTTACAATGTAATCATGGTAAGAAACCTTATCAAATGTTTTTCAGCAGAAATCAGATGGAAAATAAAATTTGGTATTCATAAAGCAAATAAACAATAAGAGAACCACGGTAAGGATGAAAGATTCAATGTAATCAGTATAAAAAGATGACAACAAGAGAAGATAAGTTTTCTTTTTTATTGTTTGTTCTTGAACTTCTCGTATGAACGAATAAATAATATTTTATCTATTTGACTTGGTGTTAAACGGGTTCGTCTTTGAGTAAATGTCAATCCAGCTGACCTAAATAATCTTTCTACCGAGGCACTGATCACTGTTATGGAGTGTACTGTGCTGACTACTCTTGATATTAATGAAAAATCATCATAAGTTTCGTTACTAGATCAGAACTCAATTCGATCACGATTACGTAGATGACTTGGATATTCTGCATATCCCGCGTTCTATGACGTTCTGTCTGATATCGACTACTACCTATTTGATTACAGTGCCGTAGCCGAACTTTCTTTTTAATGCACATGAAGTTCTTAAACGAGAATATCATGTTCATATGGACACATCTTTAGCTCTCCTCACATCCAGTAGATACAAAAGCAAAACTTTCACTAGGAAGGGAAACATTTTAATCATTCAATAGCTTGTTCACTTCAGCTTTAGTTAGAATAGTATGTTTTGACAACGATAGTGTACGAGAGTAGGGAATAATTGCGGAGAAGACTCTAATGAATAATATTTCATCACTTTAAGATGATCTCAACAAAAGTGAAAATATCTTTTTTCAAACGCAATGCATTTCGTAGCAACAAAATTGGATTGCTTTGAATAGTTTATGATCGAAATACATTAAAATAAACTATTAAAAATGCGTTTTAATGACTTCATAACCGTTTCTTGTCTGCCTTGGATGTCAATGAATTAGGAAAGGGGAGGGGAAGTGATTTTGTCTAGAACTACAATTAGGTATTATTTTATTTATATACACTACTAAACCCATCGTAATTTTATTTTTTTTTGTTTCATGATCTACTTACAGCTTGCCTAAGGTCAACATGCGTTTTTTTAATCTTAATGCAATTCAGAATTCTTATTCATTTATTTAATACATTCTTAGACACAAAAAGAAATATTGATTGAATTAAAAGAAGCTTATAAAATGTATATTATTTATTGAGATGGAAGACTGACCATCTCAAAGTTACTGTTTTGAAATGAAAGAGAAAGAAAATCATATTCTTCCTTAATTCGATTTTGTTTTTTCTTTGCCATTGTGTATTATAATATAAAAAATAATAATACAGTAAAGCCGAATATATAGGGTATCTTGAAAAAATCCTCTTGGTTGCTTCTTATAAAGTTTTCTTTTTCAATTTCAAGTATAAAAAAACTTTCATTATAGATAGATCGAAGGAGTCTACAATATTCATTTATAGAAAAATTATATTTCTTTTAGCATTTATTATATAAAGATATTCAATCTTATTCTGTTCCTCTTTCATAAGTATACATTTTCGAATTCATTTGTTATGAAAAAATTCAAATCTAATTATGTATCTGTTTTAATCAGACGAAAGACATCATTTCAGGTATGACTATTAACAAAGAATTTTAATGCTGAATGAGCATATATCAAAAAATCAAAATTTTTGTTTACAGATCAAACCTGTTAATAATAAACAAATTCATGCAACTGTTCACTCAACATCAAATAAAAAGAATTCTAATGGTCCTAAGACCTTGTCGTTTGCAAGTGCATCATTGTCAAACGATCAAATTCAACAGACTCAATCAGTCTCTGTTGTGTCACCGGCACCTAATGAAATTAAATTATCATCGGTATCCAATGATATTAAATTATCAACACAACACAGTTTCAAGTCAGTAGAACTCTCAGATATCATTTCATGCATTATTATAAAACATAAATATTGAGTTTTTATAGCGAGAATGTTCTATAAAAGAAAAATGAAAGAAGATATTAAGCTATCTGTCACCTACTTAACAGAATTTAGTTATTCATAAATAAAACTAGATGTCAGAGATGTCCATCGCGGTTGGCGGCGCAGCAGCGGAATGTTTTTTTTTGGAGATTAACGTGGCACGGCAGACCATTTACAACGGCACCGCGGCAGCGTCGCGACATGAGCTTTTACAGAAATTCACTGTGTAATTTCTAGAAACAATTTGATCTTCAGAGCTTAAATTAAACTAGTCTTCCAAATAAATTAGACAAATTAAATTTTTTCTCTTCTCTAAATCTGGCATTTTACGATGATTTTATTGTGTGGGAAACTGATGGAAGTTTTAAGCTTATGCAAGTTAATTAGGATGGTAGTAGAAATACACTGATTACAATTTGAAAGTGTTTATTGTATCGTGTTATGTCTAATATATAGTTTTAATATCATTTTAAGCTACATGCTTTGGCCGCTAAAGCCCGTTTAACAGAGTCTTGTTCTACGTTTTCAATCTGCAATATTTTGATAGATCTAGACCTGGAAAAAATTGAAAAAAGTAACATTAAAACAAATAGATTAAGCATGATCACTTATCATATTTTGGTTTTCTTAATAAAGAAAAAGCATGAATTTTATAATTATTTTTGCTTTTTAATTGTACATCTTAAACCTTCTAATCATCTTCAAAGCCACATGAATTTTCATTTCTCTTTGAATTGAAGCTATTACATGAAAAAAATTAAAAAGCTGCCGTTTTCTTCAGATTCTTTCATTGTTTCACGAAGAACTTAAAAAGTCGATGTGGTCTTATGAGTTATACTTATTGTATATGTACTTAGAAGTCATTTGTTACTATAGCAGTTAAATCAAGGGGGAAAAAGCGTATTTCTAAGTATTTCTCTATTTCAGAAATACCTAGAAATACTTAGAAATGCCTGGAAATACATAGAAATACGGAAATACACTAATACGCTTTTCCCCCCTAGAGTTAAACCGTTAGTCATTGATTTTAAGTGAAAACTAAATTGTATGACTACTGTAGACCGACAAATACCATTTTTTCTTCATGTAGTGATAGTAGCAGTATTGTAACCTTTTGCTAAAATATCGCTGCGACAACGGCAAGTTTCTTAGCATATCATGACGCGGCAGCGGCATCTTGTGCTTTTTATGTCACTGCGGCGCCGACCTTTGTAAAAGACAGCGGCGCGACAGCGGTGGATTTTCAGCCGCGCTGGACATCTCTGCTAGATGTCCAAAAAAATTTCACATATATTAATGATATTGATTTACCGTTTTTAAGAATGTATTCTTTTTATTGCAGAATATCAACAAGAAAACTATGGATTATCTCTTGTGGAATATTGATTGCTATGACCGTTTTAATTGCTTTGACAGTTGGTATTTATGCACTAATTAATACAAAAACAGCTGCAGCTAGCATTATGACAAGTAATATTTTATTTAGTTGTAAACTGAGAAAGTGATCTTTTCATCCGTCACATGAAATGATCTATCTTAAAATTACAGTGAGAATAAATTTTGCAGAACTCACATATATTTTCGACGAAAATAGTGAGTGTAAGTTTAAGTTTTTACGTCTGGCATCTCCACGCTTCCCCTCCCCTCCCCATCACTATTACAGACCTTAGCAACTAGTTTTAAATTTTGTTGAGTATTCTAGCCTATGACAATTATGTGAGTTCCACATTTCAGCCCCAATGGGGCTGCACTAATAAGTGTTTCTTGTAAATCTCAACGAAATAAAATTATAGTATCAACATTTTTGTTTAAAGTTAGATAAAAATCTTCTAAGATAAAGCTGAATACATATGTATAGTAACTACAACAACAGCAACGACGGCGACGACAACAACAGCAACGACGGCGACGACATCAACAACAACAACAACAATAACAACAACTACTACTGCATCAACGACAACTGGTAAGATCTTTATAATGATAAACTGAGCATTTCAATTTTTCAACGATAAAAACGGTCATTTTAACATTTATAGATGATTGCCGATACTCTTGAGAAATTTAACGAGAAGGACTAACTAAACTGAGAAATAGATTGTACTCATTTTAATGATCTGTTTCATTCATTGTATGAATTTAGAAATAAGACAGAATAGTATCAAATATTTAGGAATCCACGACTGTTATTTCCTCACAAATACTCCCGCTACATCTGCTCCCCAACAACAGTTGAGTCCGCAACATTTTCTTTCCTAAGGCTCTTAGTTAGAACTACCAACAATCAAAAACCTATCAGAAAAATCCTTAAGTTATGCATAGACCTCTTTCTTTTCCTTCGCCCTCAACTAAGACTCCGTGATGACACTTCCTTCACAATCATCCTCACCATTGTTTCTCATCCCATTATCACCAGAGCAAGTGCTGCGAGTGCCACTGTTCGAAAAGTAAGTCTCGTTGGGAAGTAAGCGTCCAGAGTATATCTGTCTGAAGTGTAACACGGCTTGTCCACGTAACGCGACATTTTGCTGATCAAGTTTCGAAAAAATTTTTTCGAGTTGGATAGATTTGAGTGAGTTACCAGATGCAGTTTTTAACGCTGATTACGAATTTGAGACTTATTTTATACAAAAATTAGATTTTAGCATTGAAAACCGGATTTTAAACTTTTCAAAAATCATATTTTGGATTTTCTAACTAAGAAATTTTTCCAAAAAAAGTCGAAGAACATATCATTCGATGCAGAATTTCATTCTCTATAATATGGCATATTTAGTTTCGACTTTTGTGGCTAAGGACAATTTTTAGATTCTTATACAGTTTCCAACTTACTGCGTCTTTTGTGAGCTTCCATGTCGATGTATCGATCTCATTCTTGAGTAGAACGATTAGTTATACAGAAAACACTAACACTTATAAAAATCAAATCGTTCTGACCATGGTAAGTGCCTCAAAAATGGTCGACAAAACACTGTGTCACAGCGTTACGTTTGTTTTTTGCATTTTTTATCTAAGTAAAAATAGTTTAGAGGAAACTTCTTTTAGCGTTTAAAAGCCCGTTCAAAGCTCTACAAACCTGGCTCTAGAAGTACTTCATGTCGAGTAAACTTTTCAGAAGAAATTGCACTTTTATTAGCGGCTCTGAAGAAAAAGAGTCTTTTTATGTCACAGCGTTACGAGACCAAAAATTCTTTCTCGAAGCTCGAGACTTTTACCGAAAAAAGTCATTTTTATGGCATAAATAGAGTTTGACAACCTGTGTCGAATGGCGCTTGAACGAAGTTTTTAGCTCTCATAGTTTCAGAGATGATGCAAAGAAAGTGTGTCAAAAACGTCACAGCGTTACGTTTGGACAAGCCGAACAATCGTATTACCAATATCTATAGATCATTTTCTAGTAAAATTATACATATCTACAAATGAATAACAAAGTCAGAATAATCGAATAGTGTGCTGAACGTTGCATATCAGGGCTTGTTCCATGACAATTTTTTAATTGAGTTTCAGTCAAATTTTGTAAAATGATTTTAAAAACTCATAGAAGAACATATCATATCGTTTCATCTGTTTTTACCGACAGAGAATGATGCTAAAAGTAAGATTGATATCATTAGCTTTCTATCAAAAATGTTGATAAGTGACTCTTTCTAAGATTCCCTAATATATATGTAGTTTTTTATTCATATATATTTAAAGCTACCACGACCACTGCACGTCCAACTGTGAACATAACACAAGCTGGTGATCCGATTGTTGGTATTTGTAATACAATAGCTGGTGGAAATGTCGGTGGCTCCGGCGTGAATTATCCAATCACTGAAAATATATCAAATGCTATCGATGGTTCATTAAGTACAAAATACCTCAATTTTGGAAGTTCATCATCCGGTTGTTCTGGTTCAAGCCCTGCCGGAATAAATACTGGATTTTATGTTACACCTACTAGAAGTAATGCATCTATTGCTGTTGGTCTTCTTTTTGCGACTGCAAATGATTCTCCTAATCGTGATCCAATAACAGTAACTCTTGAAGGAACAAATGCAACAACTACTGCAGCTTTCAATTCTGGAACAAGTTGGACATTGATTTACAACGGTTCAACAGGTATTAGTTCATCAACTGATCCAGGTCGTCAAATATATGTGTCTCAACAGATTTTCTCGAATACGATTGCCTTTAGAAGTTATCGACTTCTTGTTACTTCGAAGCGTGGTACTGATAATTCAGTTCAATATGCTGAAGCTCATATTGTGGGATATATTTAAGTCTTTTCAGTTTAGATACTTATGTCATTTGTGAAAATTAAAAAAAAATCTTTTTTATTTAAACAAGAAATAAACATGACAATTCTGCTTTTTGTTCTATACACAATATTCGAAAAGAAGCAATGAATTCTAAATAGTTAGCTCGATTAAAAGAATATCAGTTCTTTTTAATAAATAATTTTATTTGCCTGGTTTAATTTCCATACATTCATCTGGACGAAATCTTTTCTTGATACAAATATTTGGTGAACAACAAGGATTAATACCGAATTTACATGGAACACAATTCTTACCACTTTCACGAGTATCAAATGATCCTGTATCATCATCACTATCACCATTTAACATCGAACGAAGAAACATCCGAGCTTTCTTATCCGTTAATTCCATATCATTATCATTATCATAGAATAAACGTTTAGCATTCGAAGTTGAAACGATGAAAATCAATGCACATATAACAAGAAAAATAATGGTCTTCATGGTTATTTTTTTTGCAACAAACGTATATGAAACTTAATAGAAGTATATAGTTCCAATAAACCTTACCTTAATAACTGAAATTCAACATAAATTGTTCGTCTCTTTATACTCTTGTTTTATCTCTCATTCCGGTTAATAAATATTTATCTAAAAAGTATTTAATGACATAACCCACTCATCAGATTAGAAGCTTTTTTTATTCATCAATGCCATTATTCATAGATAAGTAAATACGAGTGAGAGAGTGAATGTTATATAGAAAATGAAAGAGTGTCGCAATAAATGAAGTCGATAAAAATAGTTATCAAAAAAGGTACATACGTCTAAAAGAATGACGACTAGCAAGAGTATAAATCTTTCTTTATACAAGAAAAAAAGATTTTGATAATATATGAAGGCTCATATTACGATAAATACAATATCTAAATAGTAGTTTTCAAGATGGTTGGATTATTTATTTGACATCAACGCTTGAAAAAAAGAAGAAATGATGAGAATCTGCGCTTGAACACATTTTCGTTTTCATCAAAAATGCATATAGACCATTGAAGGAGATGATCATTATTATACGTTTTACTGGTAGAGAAAACCCATCTTGCTCCTTAATAAAGTCTTTTTCTCTTCGTCTATCTATATTAATCATTTTATCATATTTACATCATTCTATTGCACGCTTCTCAATAACTCTTTTGTTGAAAATCTTATAGATTCCAGGAAAGATATGTCACAATCAGTACAATCTAGATATCCCGAGTAGACTTTAAAAAGCATACGATGGGTGCAATTGAGCGCTCGAAAATTTTAAATATATATTTTTTTTTGTGTACTTTCTGCTCCGGTTTCGAATATCTCAGCCACCATCGGATTCCGACCACTTGAAAACTGTATCCTATTGGGCATTCATATTCGACTCCTCCAGTACTTTTAGATTCCTCGATATTCATCGGAGTTTCAAGTGGTACAATTAATTTTGATTTCGTAAAACTTCTTCGAAAAGTAATTTATAAATATTTCTCTAATTCAGCTATATCAGTAGAGTTATTGATGTTCAATATATATTTTCCCTAATTTCAAAATTTCCTAAAAAATATTTAACATTAACTGATGAAAAATAACAAGTACAATTGAGATTCATAAGAATTTTTGACGAAAAACACAATCATAACAAATTTTGCATTTTGAATATTTGAAAATTTTTTCTTTTTATATTGATTTTCTACCTTATTACACAAATCAATTGTGTATCAAATATCATATTTATCAAATAAGCTGCTTATATGACATCCGAGACTGCAAAAAAAGTCTTTTCTGTGTTTAGAGATATGCAAAAGGTGTTTTTATTCGATTAAAGTTTATTTTTTTAATTTTTGAAAACTGTTAACAAATGTAAGAATAACAATCTTGAAACTATCATCCTTCTAGGAATTGAAAAGATAACTTTCATAGAACAGCAATAGTTCATATTTAGCTTAGCTATTTGACAAATATTAATCGCAAGTACCCATATTCGAATCTTCTTCTCCGCGTTTATTCGATAGGTTTCGACTACTCGAGAGTGAGACATCTATAGGAAAAAATCCTTTTTATTTTAATGAAATTTCGATTTCCTCAATAAAAATATTTTGACTGATCGAAAACTGTATATTTTACTGACCCTATCACTGAACACTTGACCTATCGAAAAGTGAGAATCCGAAGGGTCCGTTTGAAATTTCAATGCCCACGGCAACCTTAAATCAACGTGTCGAAATGCTTATCGGATGGCCGGTTGAAACAAACACTTCTTCTATTTTGATTTATATTGAAAACTTTTGTTAGACTATACCGAAGCACTTGAGAATGTCAAATAAATTTCAACAGTTGTTGTACAGGCTATGGTGTATCTATGTCGAAATCTGCAAATTTTTTGACAAAAAAGTTACTAAGAAACGTGCAATAGAACGGTTTACATATGATAAAATAATTTATACAAATAGGAAAAGGCTTCGGTAAGGAAAGAAAACCAACATAGGATGAGTAGAGATGTTCACGAAATCAGTAAGTTCGAAAATAATTCTGGGAAAGACATTCAGTTATATTCTCTTGTTATTCTGCTTCAGTTCATTACATTCTCACCTAAGGCTTTATGTTATGAAATTTCTGACAAGAAATGTAATACATTGACATAAAAGACACTTTCATTAGACAAATTTGCTGTAGTTCTTTTTTTTTTCTATTAACGTATGTGAGTCTTTCTTCGATGAAACCTAACATTTCCGAGAAACATGTGTACATGTCAACGTTCTCTATGAGCACCATCTACTACATAATATTGAAGATTGTAAAGAGGACAGGTAGAACCGTGGATGTGAATCTTCGCGTCTCCCAAACCCACACCCTTCTAACGAGTTGTGTAAAAAAATTCATTTTTTTTTGTCAACAAAAGAACACTAAAAGAGACGTGTTGATATGCATGACAAATAAACTCATCTGAAACATGTTTCAAATAGCGTTGATTGAATATAAAGAAAGACGTCTTCTTTGATCAATAAGTTCAAAAGGTATTTTTAGGTAGCATTTTAAGTTTAAAAAACACACATTGAAATAAAAAGACAATGCATTTAAACACAAAAACAGGATGTGATTTTTTTAAAAACCCTGAAAAAAGGTTTCATGGCTATAAAAAAAGTTTCATGGTTACAAAAAAGTTTGATAGTTGACGAAAAAAGATTTTAATTATTGACCAATGAAGGTCAATTACGAGTACATGTTTGTTTAAAGAATCCAGCTAGCCAAGCACCTTCATAATTGTAATTACAAGCTTTTGCTGGTGTCATACGAGGTCGAGTATTCAGTAAACGATGACGTGCATCTTGTTTACCATTTTTATTATCCTAGAATTCAATAAATATTTAGATATAACGACTTCGTAATAGAATACTTTATATTTCATATACAGCTGCATTGTTGCTTTGGCATCTTCTATAGCTAAATGACCACTTTTAGCATTAAGATCAATATTTAATAACGTCCAAGCTTCATGTACCAATGAAGAAAAGTTAAATGAAAACAAAAAAACTTATACAAATATTATTTTTAAACAAAACTATGAATTCAATATACTTCATTGAACCATAACGAGGATTCTATGCTGTAAACCAATCACTAAGATCAATAATTACTGAATAATGTACACCTTTCTCGAGTTTTAACCATTTAATATCATGTTTTGGACGTTGAGCAACAATAATTATTATTGAATCAAATAATGAATGAAGCTAAATAGTTACCAAAATAAAAATTTTCTTTGAAATAAATTTTGTTTTACTTTTTGTAAAGCTTCTTCGAGTGATGGTGCTTCTTCAAGATCTTTAATTCTTAAACCTGTTAATGTATAAAGATCACTAACAATTTTTCTGTTGGTTTAATTAATGAACTAAATATCATTTGACATTTATCATCGATAACAGCTACACTACATGGAGATCTATCTTCACGTGTATAACTTGTTGCTACATATTCAACATCAATTGAAAGAATACGCATATTACTGGTCGCCATATTAATTTTACGAAAAGAATGATTCATCGGTAAACGTGAAGCAAATTCCATTTTATTTATACTGTTCGAGCAACTGGATTTTTCTCAGCAAAAAGTTGCGTCGTTTGTTTCTAAATTCGTTAAATAAATACTACGAACGTTTCAACTGGATTTTTCTCACTACATGACAAATCTAAGTGATATTATCATGGGCCCCATAAATCTATTTACCTAACTACCCACCTACCTATCTGCCCATAAATATATATAACGCTAGCTCGTAAAGTAAATCAACAGCAAACGCCTCACATGGCTGTATGCTTGCCTACGAAGCTAGATAGATAAGATACGTGGGTGCGTAAATAGTCAATCCCTTCAACATTTGCCGAGGGCCATTTCGATAAACAGGCAGGTAAATAGGTAGGTCAGTAAGTAAATAGAGAACTATTAAGAACTATCAAAATGATAGGTTCTGTAGGTAGGTAGATAGGTAAATTTATTTATCTATCTACCGATCTACATCTATACACATATATAAGGCTGGGTGTGGTGGAAGAGCGGGCACAGTGCAACATCTCAATTGTGGATGTGGCGGAAGGGCAGAGACACAGCAGAGCACCTCAAGTGCGGGTGTGACGGAAGGGCAGATACACAGTGCAACATCCCAATTATGGGTGTGCCGGAAGGACGGAGACAACGCGTAGCATCTCAATTGTGGGTGAGGTGGAAGGGCGGACGCTAGAAACCTGCAATATGCTCCGAAAACCGACTCCGATGGAGTCGGAGTGAAAGAGAAAGATTTTTTTTGGTGTCGGAGTCGGAGTTTATGTCAATTTTACGGACTCCGAAAATTTTATGATTCTTATCTTATATAACATGTTTATTTTCCATACTACTAATATCAAGTAAACGAGAACTGTCAATTCAATAGTGAATTCACATGGAATAGAAATAAAAACAAAAAGAAAACATCTGTGCAAAGTTTGGTTTTATAGTAGGTCATTATAAAAAAATATCAGCACAAATCAATATTTCTATTTTCGTTATTGGATGAATTTATGTTATCTTCTCGTGCTTTTTTTTTGACAATTATTTCGCTGGAATATCCAGACATCATTGAAACTGTATCAGAAATAGATCTTTTTGTTGGTGATTTATTGACTTGACGAAGCTGTTTCAATAGAACTAAGGTTTTTTGAAGGAACATGAGTTGATTAAGCTTTTCACTACCTAAATTCGTTCTACACTCACCGACACTAAGTTTTGATGATGAAAAATGGCGTTCAACTATGGTGTTAGATGCTGGTATTGGAAGAATTTTCCTGGCAATCAATGGTAATGTTGGAAACGAATTCTGTTGTTTACGCCAAAAATCCACAATGTGAATATCTTCATCTTGTCCCATGTCCTCCTGAAAGTAGAAATCTCGATTTAAATTATCGTCAATCTCTTGGTATCTGTGTGCTGATGATATTAATCCGTTCTGTTGTTGATCAAAACATTGTGCTAAAAGACCTTTCCATGCAGAAGAAGCACATTTAATTGAAACATGTGAAGATGATGCAGCCTGCTTTTCATCAGCACAACTCTCAAATTTTTTAAAGTTTGGATGCAATATTGTAACTAGGCGGTGCTCCCTAGTAATAAACCAAGCAACTTTGATTCGATGGGCTACAAAAGATAGAGCAGAGATAAAAAGTGATGACAGGAAACTTCGATCTTTATCATTGGTTCCTAAACTTTAAACAAAAACAATGCCTCTTTACACGGTTCTGTATTTGCCTAAAAATATTTTGAGTTCAAGCATGCTGGTTTGATCACCTTGAAAACACTCACATTTGTTTAATAAATATTGGTTTAATAGAATTACACTATGTAAACGTGGTTTTTTATTTTCACTTAAAGATTCAATTACTTCTTCAAAAGGATGAAGAAAAACACATACATCATCTAATGTTTGTTTATCAATTTCTTGATAAGCATCAATTAATTTACTATTAATCAGAACAGGTGGTAATTCATCAAACAATTTACGAAAAGCATCTAGCATGTATAGAACACCATTAAAGCGTGTACCACTGTATGACTGCAATTTCTTTGGTAAACTTTGCTGCTTATGTGAATGACGTACAGATGAAACAATATTTTTTATCGTAGAAAACAGACCTTGAATATCATCACAATTAACATTTTCAATAACAGTTTTAGAAACGTGAATTTGTTGAGATTGAAATGCATGTTTTAATTGACGATCTATGTAATGATCGGAACATTCAATGCGTGTGCAATTTTCACGAAAAGCACTCAAGATCTCTGCTTCATTATCAGTAACAACATATTTTAAACTATCTAAACGTAATTTATATTCATTTAATTTTTGATCGACAAATGTACGAAGATGTTGTGCAGAATGAGATTCAGCGTCGTATGGATAGCATCTCAGTATAAAATTTAATAAACGAAAATCACGATCGGTATAATGAATGGAAATGCCACAATAGCTTAAACCTAATTGATCCAATGAAAAAAGGTACCAACTGATGAAAAACAGTCGAACAATAAATAAATCGGTTTTCTTACCGGTATATTTCTCAGTCCATTGGTCAACAACAATACAAAACTATTCATTCTTTCACAAATTTTAACCTATTTGTTTTTTTTTGCATTATCATAAATTCGAGTTATCTCTCTACTCATCTAAAAATACAGAAAACGGTTACAAAAACTTGAGTTAGATAGTATACGAGTTTTTGAAATTTTACCGTAGTAGGATGTGGAATAAGTGCATCTACATTTATTGAAGATGTGTTGAGTACACGACCAGCATCAAATATTTCTTGTAGAAGAATTTTGAAGCCGTCACCTGCCATTGTTTCGAATGCTCTATTATCAATAGCTGCAAATCCTGAACATGCATGTAATACTGCTGATTTAATTCGTTGCGGAATATGGATATTATTCATTGACGAATGAAATTCTTTAACGCTTTTTGACCACTAGTAATTGTTTGATTTCCTTTACTACATGATTTTACATGTGTTTTCATATTATTTGTGCCATTTGCAGATGCAAACAAAAGTATGACTTTGCACAAATTGCACGAAACGTATTGTTGCTGTTGATTGTTGACGAAAACTTGGTGGAAATTATCCCAAATTTCACTTGTGTTTGATTTTTTTTCTTAGGTACTAATTTGCCGCAGTCATTTTCTTGCTTAGTTAAACTTAAAATTTCTTCTCGTGGCAAGAGCTTCACAGTCATTTCAAATATATTTAATACTTAAAAAGTCTTTGAAAATTTAATCAGTTTTAGTTTTTCTATCTAACATTTAGCATACCTATTTATTTGTGCGTAATAATCGCTAATCAGATTTCATTTGTGATGGTAAATTAATTTTAAATTACATAATATGTTCGTACACGTGAGCTGTCGCTGAATTATGGAAAGAAAAATTTTCGGAGTTTTTCGGAGTCGGCGTCAAAAAAGTTTGACTCTGCAGGTCTCTAACAGTGACACATGAGCGCGCAAAATTCCTTTCTATCCGTTTTCGACCTCTCTTTAACTTTGTGAAACACGATTGACAACCAATGCTGAAGTATGTAGGAAAAACGTTAAACCTACCCATCGGCTACCATTCCTCTCACACGTCTTGACAAATACATCGACGTCTCAGTCATAGTCGTCAACGGTTGCGAGCGGTTTTGATCGTTTTTCAGCATGTGTGACACGATTCGTGAGAGTAAGAGAAATTTTCGAACTACTAGTCTTTCATCCTGAAAAATCTGTCAAAGAAAAATACCTGACATGGTTTCTATGGAATAGAATCGTCTATGCTGTCGATAACACTTGTTTTTTTTCAATTATTCTCACAATATTTTTTTAATAATTTTAAATACATGAAAGTGTAAACTACACTATACAAAATGAACGATAGATACATTTGAAATTCAAATATTTCAACAACTAAAAGCGATGCAGATTGTATTTGAAGTATGCTATCAAGTCTATATACTCTTTGAGCTTCGAGGGTTGAACATGATTGTTTAATCTGGAATGGTAAGCACTTGAGCTGAATATATTAGTGCGAGATTCGAAATTAACTGTATACTCTGGTATAATTCTTTCTGAAAAAAAAAGTATTGCATTATTATCGCAATAGAACAGTCTGTACACATTATATCGAAGTACTCACTCTCAGTATTGAAATTCTATAACGTATTGATATTGTTATTTCGAACTTTATGTGAAATGAGTGTATGGGTGTGGAGGGGTGGGGGGGGGAAGTGAGTGTCGACGTGGGTGTATTGTGGCTAGTGCTGTATGCGGGCAGAATGAACACCCACACCCTAGAGGTGTTTACGAAATTAGTTATTTTGCAAAATAATTCTGGGATACGCATTTACTTATATCCTCTTGTTATTCTGCTTCAATTCATTACATTCTGACCTAAGGCTTTATGTTATGAAACTTCTAATAAGAAATATAATTACAAAATTCTAGAAAGACATTGACATCTTTACTCGTCCACTGGATTTCTTTTTCGTTCTCTCAATATTGTTTGTCATAAGTGATGTAGGATTACTAAATTAGACTTTAAACTATTTTAGTCTGAACAAAAACTAGTTGCATGAGTCATTAGAAAGTTTTACTGTATATGCAACTGAGAGTTCTGTACACAATAAAAGTAAAATAATTTTAACTGGATTACCTTATTAAAAAATTCTATCTATCATAAAAGAAAACTCTCGATTAAACAGTTATTCTTAGTGCGTTATAAGCATTGTTTAATCTATAACTTTACAATGACACTGACTTAAAATATGAAACTTTTGCTACCCGATACAGTTTCATACAATCTACCAAAAAAAAATTAAAAAAACATAGTCCATACCGTTATGGTTGAAACTTCTGAAGAGGGAAAGTTTCTTGAAGTAACCAAGAATATAAATAATATAATTCATGAAAATAGAATACAGATTCCGTGTTAATTGTTGTTGTTTCACTACTTTTTGTGTTATGAGTGGATTTACGATACTAAAACTTCTGAAGTAAATCTTGGGCATGTCTAGCGATAGAAAAAATCGATATCTGTAAAATAAAGTCAGTTCGACATAAAACACAGCTTGTACGTAGAAATGATTCTATTCTAAACATAACATTTTTATTTTCGGAAACACTGAAAACAGCCAATGTCTCATTTTGCAATTGCATAACACCACCCCACTCCTAAACAAAAAAAAACTAACGAAAGAGTTTACCCCATGGTAAAAGCGTCTACTCTTTTCGCCAGTTCGACATAAAAAGTCTTCATAAATATTGCAACTGGTGCTGTGATTGATGTTAAGAGAAGTATGTGATTAAAACTTAATTGTTCTTTGATTTAATAGAGAGAATAAAGGAAAACCACTTTTCGTTAATTCTGAACAATTCTATTAGGAGTAAGACAAATTTTATTTGTAAAAGTTTACAAACACTATTTTTTATTAAATTTTTTGTACTTCATATTCGTATTCTTCAATCATCATCTGTCGTCCTTTCTTAACAGCTGTCATCTGTACACGTATTATAGAATATTCACTAATGTTCATAATCAATTTTTCGATAGCTGGTAGATCAATATTTTCATTGGTTGATTTCATTTTGCTCATTTGTTGTTCATATTGACTTTCTAGTTTCGACAATTCTTGAACCAATTGCTTATTGAAATCATTTGTTGTTTGAATTTCACAGATATATGTTTCTTCAACAATCATTTCTACCAAAGCATTCAAAAATGGATCATCTTTTGTAGAACAAGTCGTAGAAATGAGAAAATAAGCTAATTCAACACTTGCATGACACAACTTATTTAGTATATTGATCATTCTATTTTGAAGATCACTAGAACTAAAATTAGAACATTTATGGTCGAGAATATAATTGATTGGAACATGTTGATCGATAGTACATGTGCACATGAAACACTCATTTTGGATTTCATGCGGACAAGTAGATAAAATACAAAATTGACCAACTTGTTGAAGACTATCTTTACAAGAACGACAACGAGTAGCTGTGAAATGAAGAGGTTTCGAATTTAATTCAATGAATTGATTTGATATATTCTTCTTGCATAAGATAATATTACGAAGAATATTTCTCATTGCTTCTAATATTGGACGAATCATATAAGAGATTTCAAATTGAGCATGTTTGATTGATTGCCATTCGTTCTCTATACGATATACGGTAAGTTCTTTATCAATGTAATCAATCAAACGATGAGATTCGTTGACTGATGTAGACCAACTTCTGTCATATTTTTGTTTTTCTTCATCAGTGAATGGAACTTCATTTTGTAAAGCAACTAAATATCGAAATGATTCACTATCAAAACAAAATGTATTCTCTTTTTTGAGAGAAATATCACTCATTGAGATTGATGCAAGTATATTTTTAAGTAACGAAGCTGTATTTCCAGGTTTGTAAAATGTTGATCGAGCATTAGTAAAACAAAAGATAATATTATTACGAGCTGTTGGACCAAGAAGAGAAAATAATTGACTAAGACAGGTACGAAAAGAAAAACTCAATTGTGATGCATTTGGTTTAAGAAGAAAACAAATAGCATTCAAATGTGTGAGGTTATTAATATATTGTAAAGTATGTTCCATATTTCGATCATCTTGATCATGACCTCGTGTATCACCAAAACCAGGTGAATCAATAATGCGCACCTTTCTACTATCACCATTATTAAGAGCAAATACATAAGATTTACAATGTTGTGTTACGGATTGTCCGAAGATATTAAAATTTTCATTGTTAAAACAATCAACTTCGCCAAATTTAATTATACGTTCTTCAAAATTATCACCAATCGTTATAATAAATGAGACCGGAATAATTACGACGGGTTCATTTGATTCGGCTTGTTCAAATGAATGAAAAATTAGATAATTGGCAAAAGCATTGATAAATGTTGATTTACCAACTCCTGTTTCGCCAAGAAGAAGAATATTAATAGTTTCATCATTTGTTAATAACGGTGATGGAGATGATGGTAAAATTAGAGAAGTCTGAAGAACACTAACTGCAGAAGATGCTCTTTGCATTGAATGATTTTCACTATCATCATTTTTATCCAATGATAATACCATCATGTCATGCAATTGAAACGAAGTATAAGAAAAATCAGCATAGATAAGATGCAATTCTGGGTTGCTTTTGTATTTTTCAAATAATGTTCGACGTAAGTCGACCAATTTTGAAGGATTATTTTCGTTTAAATTATCACTTGAACAGATAATTCGTCTACGGCGATCATTGCTTATCAGCATGCGTTCAATTGTTTTTATATCATTACTTTTGCCGATATTATATTCAGCGGTATTCCAATATTTAAACTGTTGTTGGTGCAAACCTGTGATCAAATGCCCTTTTTTTTCTAACTCATTTACATTACAAATCAATTTATTAATATCATTTTTCATTGTTCTTTGTACATTATCACGAAGTGCTCGATCAATTGTGAAAGATTTTCCTAGACCACTGCGGGCATCAATTATTAGTTTAGAAAATTGTTGAATATTGTTTCTATATTTATTCTTCAAGCTTAACCATTGAATATTAGCTTTGTTAAGTTTGCTTGATAGATGTCCACAGAATAACTTTGGTATACTTTCATTCAGAGATGCATCTACATATTGTATCGGATTTCTTAATTGAAGCAAAAATTGTTCAAGTTTTTCTTGGAGTAAAGAAGATAAGAATTTGAATTGATCTGCTTTTTTCATTTGTAAAGGATGTGACAATGTCATACTTGTTCTGCTATCTGAAGGACATAATTTTGTGACCAGCTGAAGAGTATAGCTTAATGGATAACGACAACATGAATTCATCTTGATTTTATTGATTTGAGAAAAAACATCAGAAACTTTAGTTAAACTGGTTAAACTAGATATATTTGAATAAACTTTTGTATTGAAAGTTTTTTCAAGTAAGTCATTATCCTCAGGTGTAAGTTTCAAAATGCTGTTCTTGTCTCTTAGAAGCTCATCTCGAATTTTTTCAAGTATACGATCGATCTTATTGACAGCGGTATCTTCTGATGGTAACTGTAGAACAACAAGAGTATCGATTCCAAAAGTTATTGAAGTAATCATATGAGTAGCATTAAGTGCAGGATTCCATATTTTCATGTTTTTTAGGACATGCATTCCATTTTCGAGAAGTTGTTGTTTATCGCCAGTCCAAGAATAATAAAAGAAACGAGTATAATGATCTATACGATGAGGATAACAAATAATTTCTGCTATTCCAGATCTTTTCGTCATTTTCAATAATAAACTTAATCGTAATTCCTGTTGAATATCAATAGATTGAAGAATATTGAAGTTTAAGTCCATATTGCCGTTTATAACTTTACATTCTACAGGTTCAGATGACTGTAACCACTCTTCTTGACAGTTCGGATGTGTTTCATGAATTATACGATCTCGACATCCATCATAAAGCGAACCAAGACGTCCGGCTGGATTAATAGCCTTACGCTCGATAGTATCAGATGGTGTCGACGAAAAATCTCTACTACGAAATGTTGACATATTCTTCTACTTCTTCACTGACAATCACTAAAAATATCACGAACACAAATGCTTTGTCTTGAGAAGTCCACGAAAAATTAAATTTATCCTGTTTTACTTTTAGTTCCTTTGAGTCCATTTAGCATCCTCACTTCAACAACACTCGAATCCGCACCCACACCTATATTCTAAAAGGCTTAAAGGAACTAAAGTATAATGAATATGAAAATCTTACCAGTTTCTACAGCATAAAAGTAAAACGTGATAAATTTATTTTTTCGTGGATCTATGTATATTAAAGTTTAAGAGATAACAAGTGCAGTTGTCTTTGCAGCAATCTCTAAAAACACTGCTGAACCTTTTTTAGTCAGTATTTGTAATTCAGACATATTCATACTGTCATATTTGTGAATGAAAAATTAGTTTTCCAGACGATATTAAAATCTCAATAGAGCATTTATATATGAGAAAGAATAAGTAAATCATACTAGCTAGTATCGAAAGATCCTTTAAATTTATAACTTTATGATTCATTATTTGAAAAACCAATTATACTATTTTTATATTGTTACTCTTAAGATGCTGTACTGATCATTTTGTTTTCCATTCTCTTACTGATAGACTTTAAATGAAATTATTAGTATAAAAACCCAATTTCGAAAAACAGAAGTCGAAACTTTACTCTAAAGATATATTGCAAAATGTTTCAAGAAGTTCTTATATCTAACTAATAAACTTCATCATTCTCTCACTTCTAACATACCTTCATATTTGTTGTTTGCAAACACTGTTTATGTGAAGAGATTTGAAAAAAAAAGTGTGTTACTATGAATGCAATGAATATTATTTAACATACATGTTTTTCGTTTGCTTTTACACAGGTGAAGAATGAGAAAAAAATGAAACTGCAATTTTCTTATAAATTGTTTTTTATAGAATGACGAAAGTTTTATCGAGCACCACCCAAGCAGACAAACCTTTTCAAAAAGGCGTTTAAACAGGCTTAAAATCCACAAAAAGTGGACGTGTTTGGCTCACAATCGCGGTTCTCGACTGTCAGCGAAAAACGACCATTTTTTGCCCCTTTTGTGCGTTTAAACGCGTTTTCAGCAAAACAAACGCTTGTAAACGCATAAAACGATCTTAAAAAGTTGTTATCTTTTTCATACTCATAAATCACAATCATAATTACAATCACAGTTCACGAAAATGAAAAAGACCACTACTTTTTATGTTCTTTTTATGCGTTTAGAGTTTTTTGCTGAAAACGCGTTTAAACGCACAAAAAGGGCAAAAAGTGGTTGTTTTTCGCTGACGGTCAGGAACCGCGATCATGAGCCAAACACGTCCACTTTTTGTAGATTTGAAGCCCTTTTTTGTGCGTTTAAACGCGTTTTTGAAAACGTTTGTCTTCTTGGGTAAGAGAACATATTCTTCTTTTTTTGTGTCGAAGAAAAAAGAATTTCATTTTTTTCTTTAATATGATGCATGTTAAAGTGTCAACTTTGTTGTTGCATGTGCACGTTAAACGAAACAAAAATTTTCAAATTTAAGACAAACAATAGAACGAATTTCACAATACAATATTCCTCCAGACAACTAAAAGAGTAAAACGTCTTAAAATAATTAATATTCATTAGCTCTGTTACTAATTATTATTATATAATACACAAAATTACTTTTTGAATGAATAAATCATAATTATTTACCCATAAATGGGTTTTGTTATTTTTCGTGACGAAAAATGATCTAGCAAGATATTTTCAAAAAAGTCATTAATTGATTTTTAAATACATTTGTAAACCATTTTGCTGCGTTCTATCACCATGTCAATTTATCAGAAGTTAATAATCAATACTTATTCTCAAAAATATAAACTAAGAGACAATTTATGTAATTTAGAAATGTCTTGTCTATCAGATAAAGACATGCGAATATACACACAGATTACAAGACAAGTTCATGTTGTTTCCTAATTGCTTCTTGTCCTTGTTTGACAGTAACCATTCGTTTATGTATTTCTAGATAATTGCGAATAATTCTCATCTGTTCATCAATGATGGTCAACATCGTATGATCTTGATTTAAAGCTACTTCACGCATTTCGTTGTTCAGATTTGTACTGAATCTTTTTCAATGCCGTGATCAATTGTACGTATATTCATTGTATTGAGTTATTTTTCTGCACAAATATCTTTCTATGCACGAATCATTTTCATTAAACCTAACATAAACTGATCTTCTTTGGTAAAGCGAGCATCATGAGTAGATTTGTAAGCCGACCGACCGAAATAACATGAAAAGCAATACAGAGATCAGCTGATCATTTTATGTTTCTAACCATGAATAAGAAGACGAGTAAAATTCAGCACTGGTACAGTATATTCGATATAGTATATCCTTCATTTCACTTTACTGATAACTCGCGAAAATATTTATAGGTGTTCGATTATGCCAGCTAGTAGCATATGAATATGTCTAACATTTATTTTCATTAATGTCACAATAGTATTTCATTCAGTATTGGAAGGTACACGTCGCAATATCCTACAGGGTAATCAAGTGAATTATATTCAATTCTAGGCAGAAAGATTTAGTCGAAGGAGTAATGTTTTCGCTACCTCAGAATAAATCATATATCCTCAGACTTAAAGAATTTAAGGATCAGAGTAAACGTAAAAATCCGTGCACCAATGCTAGAAGATGAGAATTAGTAAAGTACAAGAGCTTAGAATTGCATAGAATTACTCAAGAGCGAATGTCAACAAATTTTGTACAACTCCAAACTTCGGTGACTATTAATAACAAACTCGTGATAATTCTCAATAAACATTAGTCAAGGATCTAACTGCAACAACCACAAACAGAAATATGTTTTCACAACAGGCGGCGACGATATAGCCTGAATCATAATCCGAAATATCTTTGTTACACTAGAACAAACTTAATACATCAATTTTCTAAGATCTACTTCCACTGCAACAAAGAATAAACATTCTACCCGAACAAAAACAAAATCGGTTTGCATTCCTCTTACCTTTGAATATTCGTATCTCATACAAATTAAACTGTTTCTGCAAATCAACTCAGATTCCTCTGTTTTTAGAGCATTTAATTCGTTTTACGAGAGAGATGATAATGGCTTTTCAGTGTAAAGCTATGGATGGAGATGTAAGACCGAAAGTTTGCTCGTTGCTCCTTCATTTATGCACACAGATATACCTTCATATAATCTCACATACATCATTGTGAAATCAAATCCAGACTAGAATCAGAACGTCAATGATGTCAACCATCCTTAACAAGATATGATCTACGAATCTGATAAAAATTTGGATTTGATTACACGAGAATTCGATTCTCAATCATAAACATTTCACGGTAAATTTTGATCTAATAAAATTCGATATTCTCATAATGTGCAATCGGCATTTATTTGAACGATATCTACTTGATATAAATCTTGTTTTCGATGAATATCTTCAAATTATGAAAAAAGAACATATAAGAAACTTTATAACTATAATTTAATTGTGCATCAAGCATTATTTTCAAATAGGTTTTAATTATTTGCTTAAAATCTGTTAGTCAAGTGACATGAATATACTTTGGCTTGTATGAAAAAGTTACTGTTGTATACTTCGTTCAGCTTAGCTATTTTACATTAGGTAATATCAACTTCATGTTAACGAAAAAAAAGTTTCCTAGACCGCTTTTATAATAGAAAATGTTTTTTAAATACTTTTTATAAACGAATTGACAAAGAACAAGCATTCTGCCTATCATGCTGAAAGTTTAGGTCTTCAAATCTAGTAATTATTGACATGGAAATATTTTGCGTGCAAGACGTTATCACTATCGACAGTATTTTTTGAGTGAAATTTTTGCTTTCGAAAATATTACTCGAATGATGCCTTCGAAAAATCAACTAAACTGCTTTTTTTTATGTTAATCTAATGTGAATAGTTTTTTTTCTCTCTCCTATGCTCTCATATTATGTGTATACATGATCAAGTAAGCACTGACAATTAAAAAACAAAAGGTATTTGCAACACAGTGAATAAATGTGCGTGTCTATCTCTTGACGACATGTCTGCATGGAAAAGAAAAGAAATGATTTATATACCTCTTGTATTAATTCAAGCTTTATTTATTTTTTCTTTCCATTTCCTATGTTGCAGTTCTTTTTCAAATGAAGAACATGTACAATCATAATATAACCTCATCACTTTGTACAGCTTTCTCTTCACATAGATATTCGTACGATTCTTTAGATTTTGCAAAATATGTGTAGAAAAACTACTTGTTCTGCATGTAACAGGCCCACATGGGCAGGTAATCGGATATTTGTTTCTAATCTACTTGAAGTAAATGACTATAAACTTTCGTTTCTTTTTTTTTCTGTTTTTGTTCCAGGCTGTGGTCGACATATCGAACAAGCATTAAAAGATGTACCTGTTGACGAACAGATGCAAATGTGAAAAAAAATTTATTGCTAGATTATGCATTCTATCATAAAAATAGACTAAATTGTCATATTCTTGGTCGATTTACGACAAAGTCAATGATGAACAATTATTAACATGTACTTTTTCTTTCGAATTCTCAATAAATAATCTGTGAGTCACAGCATCTCTTTTTTGTCTTTTGCCAGTCATTCTTATCGTTCTGTCTTATGATATCTGATTAATGAAGACAAAGGAGAGAATAATTTGCCTGTACTGTAAAGCTACAAGCGATTGAGAAACTAAAAGGCAATATCAGTATGGATGTGGAATGGAGTTGAAAAGAAGAGTATCATACATCCTCACTCATATTCTCACGATAGTCATCCACTTCACGTTTACATTCTGATCACAAGGATAAATTCTGCTATTTTTAATGTAATTTACATATTAGTAAATAAGCGTAAATGTTGTTCCACAAAGTGCTTCAAGTTTTTTGTTCTAGAACTTTCTGACAGAGCGAAAATGTACTTATGATCACAAAATTTTCGAGTCAAGATCTTTCCTTATGTCTTTTCTAAAGCAATAGTATCAATTGAAGAGTCTACTCAAGTGAAACCGATTTTCAAATAAAACCATTGAAAACTTGAAGTATTCGAATGTGTTCAAGTACTATTAGAAGAGGTTTCTGGAACGAGACCATGACTAGACTCCTCAGTTTTTCGCTCAGTGCACATCATGACGTGTGGGTGCCTGAACACAGTGAGCAGACACCAAGAGCAGAATGTGGATGTTTGGAAATTGGAACACAAAGTTATTAACGATTTCATTTGAAAATTGGTTTCACTTGAACACACCCTTCGAGTTGACATTATGATTTTTATCTATTTACAGGCGTATATTAGAAATACTAGCTACTTTAGATAAGAGAATTGAAAAATCATATTCATTTATTGTCATTGTGAGTCATTAACACATTCGCGGCAATTCGATTTTATTGGAGAATAGTTCTCAAACACATTGTTTTTGCGTGCATTGGCCTCTTCAGTCTGAGCTGCCAATTGTTTTTCTTTTTTCTGTTTTGTATTATAACATGAACATCTCTCTTTGTCGTCGAATTAGATAACTACTGAAATTGACGTTCTGTTTTGTACACTTAATTGTACACTAGGAATGAGATAAAAGAAATATAATTCGGACATTTTTTCCTTTGCATTCTAGTCTTAGCTCTCAATTAGATTCTTTTCGCTCGTGTGCATAAAAGCCCGTCGACGTATGCCACAACCGACTCATAGAAAACGTGCTCAATTTAACATGTGTGATAGAGTCAAAAATTTGATGACTTTTGCCACAAGTCTCATTGAAAAATATTAATATTGAAGCTTCAAATTGTTATGAATATCTTACGAAAAGTCCTAATAAGAAGCATTTTGACCGGGGACATTTTGACGAGATCGTATCTCAAGAATGGCTCGATTGATTCAGCTAAAAGCTTTTGTGAACATATATATCAGTGAGTTCTATGGACGGAAAAAATTTCATCTGTACATACGGGATTCTTGATTTTTTAGGATTACTCAATATGGTCAAAAAATTCCCAATTCACACTATTTTAGAGCTTCATATCTCATAGCTAGAAGAAGATAAAAGTTTGAAATTTGCACTGGGGTTTGTATACGCACTCTAAAGAGTTGAGGTTAGTACATTGTTCCTTGCAACTAGTAGGATCCTTTCAAAACTTGGTTATTGATGAAAACTTCTATATTACGTCAAAGGCTATCTCTCAAATTATGTGATAGTTTGATGGCTAGTATTTTGAAGTTGGAAGCACTCTTTCGAACGAGATTGTTAACGAAATACAAAATCCTATGTCTAAAATTCGAATGCTTAGGTATGATTGTGAGCGTTTTCCTCTTTACACTGATACCCATATCCACACTCTATACTATCGAAAAAAAAAGAGAAAGAAACTGTCTTTTACTCTTCTCCTTGTCAAAATATACCGTGAGCCACCGGTGGCTCACTGCGTCCCGAATGTATTAACATAAAGACTGCATTTGTTGTCAAATACCAAATCATTCCACTCATTTCATTGATTGTTTCTATGACTTTGCTCACTCAGTTAACATATAAACATTTTCAATCAAAATATTGATAATAATTTCAAGTTTTCATTTAAAATTGCAAATGACACAGCTCATTGGTCAACTATTGTATCATTTTCTGATGGACCTAATTTGTAACGTTTGATTCTTTGGTTAAATAAAATCCAATATATAAATAGTGTTTCTTTCTTTATCGATCCGAACAAGATGTAACTTATATAATGATACTTTATTTGATCCGGTCATTGTGATACCTTCTACTATACGTGCATATTTAGATCAGTTTTAAAAACGATCACTAAAATTATCTACCATTTAAACATTATCATTCGTTCAAGAAATACAGACACCAACCAGATTATTCAAATGCATGTTGGTCAAGTCATCTTGACCTTCTTGTCCATTGACAGTTATCGTCTGGTTTCTTCTAGATGACTACATAAACACACAATGTTTGAGAGATTCTGAAATGTAAACATCTTTATTTTTATTAATGCAATTCATTTGGAAGAGCCACATTGATCATTACACTGTTGAAATCATTATCAATATAATGTTTACTTGAATCTATAATATAGAACAATTTATATTAACAAATATTATAGAAGTGTAAGCAACATTAGTATATAGATAAATACAATCAAACTGTTCAACTAGCAAATGATCCATAATACATGATCAGCTTTTGTATTTATTCGTTTGATCATCTAGTATGTTTATTTTAAAAAACACAATATATAATATGCTGCAACGTTATTTCTTAATAGAGCGTGTTTATACTCTAACTCGATAAGAGGTAGATGAACAAAGAAACATAAATAAAAAGGCTAAATATTCAAAAAGAATTATGGTGTGTTTGAGAGCTTCTCAAGAATGGTCTTACATCTCTAATTCTATGTTAACCTAGTGAAACATTATCATATAAGAATCATATTCAAGTTGTTCCTCGATACACACAAGCTGAAAGTCATCATCTATTTTGAGATGACTTCATCTACTAGTGCGACAACGATATATCGCATATTCATTAGAAATCATTGATATGATTTGAAGAGAATTTCATTCATTGCATAAACAATCGCAAATGATCATCAAACAGTTTTAGCCTCAACGTTCTGAATTATTATGTATGAGACACAACTGCCAATAATACGCAATGAAATAAAGTTAAAAACTGTGATTCATTAATTGATGACATAAGAAAAGAAATTCGTCGTGTAACAATCTATGATTTTATTTGCAGTATCAAGAATAGGTCGGACAAAGTTTTGTTCATTTTGAGAACAAAACATACATGTATAAGATAAGCTTGTCTTTATAAATTCTGGAGTTGTTCACTCTGCATATTTATGCTATATTTTGTTTTTAAAATAGACATTCTAGATGATTAAAAAAAGAAATACAAAAATTGACTATTCACTATGGATCACTCGTTAGTTTTCTAGTCTATTTTTCTCATAAAATTTTATTAAAATAATATATTGAAATTATTTAGAAAAAGACTACAATGGTTCCCATAGTACTTCCATATCGTTTGGCACGCTCACAATGAATGTTGGATAAATTCCCGAATGATAGCTTTCTTGATCTTGTAGTTCAAATTCTTTGAGTAATTTATAGCGCACAGCCATCCATGCACGACGTTGTTCAATTAGAGGATAACGCTCTAAATGGGCTTCTCCTGTTTCACTTTTCTTCTTGACATCATTATACCAATCAAATGCTTCTGATGAAAAAAATTCTTCCGGACTAGACATTGAATTATCACCTCGAAACAATGTTTTACTTGTCCATTGTTGATAGCACATAGATAAATGTGGATGAAGTTGGTCATTACGAGGCCAACCATTAAAAGCCATGGGAAGATGATATTGACTATAATGATGATGTTCTTCTGAAGGATCAATTTTGGCTGGTAATTCACATTTAACACCACAACCAGGACAACGTGATGTGCAACCAATTAACTGATAGATTAATGTTTCAATACATTCATGAATTACAGTTTGACTAAATTCTTCTCGAACTTTAACTAATTGCTGTAATAGAATATTATCCATCTCGCCTTCAAATAAATCAAGATTTTTAAAATATTCTTTAAATTGATCTGGATTTTCAATTTTTTGTTCAATTTCAATTGTACGTGAAGCTTGAAAGTCGGGTATTGCAGAAACAATCTAAATGAAAAAAATAACAGAAATCTACATTAAATATTTTATTTTTCTTCTATGTATTTAAATATAAAAACACTGAAAATCACGATAAACTTATTAAAAATGAAGTTATCCTGAGTAAAGCCTGATTGAACAATCTAACTTATACTTTAACTTTTCTCGTCTATTTGAATATAAACACAAATGAATGAACCAATTTTAACAGATAAAATCCAAGTACATATTAAAGTATTCATAAAATGAACTAATGATAAGTCGTATTCTCTCAATAAATTGTATAACTAACCTGTTGAAGTATTTGTTTGTGTAGTACATGAGTGTCAGTAGATTCACTGTTCAAAACTACATCTGCCATTATTAACATATAGGCAGTTAATTTTGTAGTAAAATCATTCGAATATATATTAATGAATTCTTGAAGAAAATCCTTGACAGTCAAATAAATATGTTCTCGGCAAAAATAACTTGGATCTGAGACAAACTTCAATATAGCTAAAGGATTAATTGGTTGTGAAGCAATACTTTCTGAATAAATTTGCCGAGTAATATCAGTTGGATCAATTAAGTAATATTCATTAAATTTGTTACGAATCTCTTCAATTAATTTTTGTCGATTTATTCGTCCTAATTCACAAATAATTTCTTTTCCAATTATCCGACGAAAAAGTTTAGCTTGATTATTTGTTTTTTCATCTTTATTCATTTGTTCAAGAAGATTTTCTTTTACTTGGTTAAGATTATTAAGTGTTTCAGTTAATAATTGTTTTATTTTTAGTTCAAATCGTTGATTCGTTTTTTCAACAAGCATATGTAACGTAAAAATAATAAGATCACGAATCAATGCAGGTCTATTAATATGACTAAAATCTAATTTAGCTGAATGAACTTCATAATCGATAATTTCAATAAGTTCATCTATCATTTTTGGATCTGAATATGCTAAATGTAAAGGAGACATATCGAGTCGATCGTTGATTTGATTAAGTAGTACACTAAAAACAAAATGTATCATTTGTTGATTCTTAATTGGTTCATTGAACTTATTAAACCAGTGAAATACATTTTGACCTTCAATTGGAAAAGAAAAAGGTGATAAATTCATAGTTGTCATTAAAGGTGACCGAGGAGTAACAGTTTCTAGTGATGAATTACTACGTTCATTCTGTTGAATGTATTTATTTACATATTTGTTAATGATAATATGAAGTTCTTGAACAATATCAAAATATTTATTATAATCAAGTGGTGGACATAGATTATAAGTACTATTACGATGTTTATTTTCATTTTTAGTTTGAATAACATTCTTATATACATCTAAAATAGATTTCATAATAGTTTCTTTACTTTTTTTATATGCTTGAAGACTATCAGTAATTTCAATTTCGAGTTCTTGAACACGTTGATCCATTCTCATAGTAAAATCATTAGATGTTTTTATAGTAAGTTTTATATTTAATAATTCTTGTCGATAATAGTCCTGTGTTGTTTTTAATGCTGTTTCTAAAGCACGCATTTCAAGTTGTTCATATAAATATTGTTCCATATTTTTAATACTGGCTTTAATAGTTTTTCCATGATGTTTCATATGTTTAAAGTAACTATGTTCTGTTTGTTCTTCATAATCTTTTAAGGCATCTTCAGTTTGTTCATTAATAAGTTTGTTTAAAACTGTAATTCCTTGTTTAACAATATGTTTAAGCCAAAGATGTGGTTTTAAGTTTTTATTTGTGTCTAAATTTGTATGAATCAATTGATCATTTTTTTTAATCAATATTTCAATTAAATCACTTCCTAATCTTTGTAATTGATTTTGTCGTGCGACAATAATACTTGCAGCAATAGATTTAAGTTCATTTTGAATACTTAATTCATATAGACTTTGACAACGAAGTAAACCTTCTCCAAGATCATCAATTGATTTCCAATTTGTTGTTAATTTCGAATATAAATAAGAATCAAAGTTTTTGCGTGAATTCGTAGAATTTCGTTGAGGAAAATTCATATTTACTGTTTCATTCATTTGTTCTTCAAGACATTGGAATACGTTTGTACGAAGTTTATTAATTTCCATAGAGAATGTTTCTGTACGCCATTTTTGTACAATACCATAATCCCGATTCGTATCTTCTATAAATGCTCCAGGCATAAGAATAATATGTTTCATTTCAAGTTCATCATCAATAGACATTTGTAAAAATTGTCCATTTGTTTGAATATTGTCTTTTAATTTATTAAGTTGTTGTTGAAAAATTTTCATATCCCGTTGAGTTTGATCACGTAAAACAAATAAAAGTTTTGGTTTGAATGGTGAACTTTGAATTTGAATTTTAGCATACAAACTCATACCAATAAGACCTTCAAGACTCGAACTTATTTCACCTTTATGATTGACAAGTACAAGATTAGAAGAAAGTACAGCCATTGTGACCATTTGATTATCGAAAATTGATCCTGATTCTTCTAATGACATTAATCCTTCAGTATCCAAAATTATAATACTCATATTTTTATAATATGCAAGACCTGAAAATAATCATAAGTTTAATTAGTTTATTCATCAAACTTTCGTTTTGTTGAGAAGCGATAGTTCCAGAACAATATTGTATCTCGAGGATACGAACTGTGAATGGTGTAACGAGAAACTAAATATAACACACGCTCATATAGGAGAAAGTAAGAGAGATGAGAGATGACCACAGGAAATAACAAAAGAGATAAGATAAAAAAGAAAGAAAGGCCAGCAAGAGATGATCTCAATATCAACACAGGCGAAAGAATAAAAGACCTATAGCCACACGCATTCCCTACCCAGATATAGCCCAACGGTGCATCGTCCAGCACTAACACGAAAATTGCATCCAAATGTTGAATTAAGTAAAGATGATTTAGCCGATGATTGTTCTCCAATAACAGTTAGAATAGCGATAGAATCTTTAAAATTCAATTTTTCCATGCACATTCTTAATAATCGACTATGACTTTGTAAAGGTCGACCACGAAGAATATGTAAAGCAAAACCTTTGTAGACAAGTTCTGCTAATTTAGTAGCAACAAGATCAAATTTGTTTTGAAGTTTTTTTATTTCACTAGATGATTGTGTTCTATGAATATTATCCCATAAAGCAAATAATTCATCACAAAATAAACCAAATGTTAAATCAACATTCATTAAACATCTATCAACATCTCTTAGTTGAGTAAGTAACATTTCATATTGTTGACGCAAACCAGTTGTTTCAGATGATGCTGAATTTTCTCGTTCAGCTTGTTTTAACTGTCGTAAGATTACTGAAGCATTTTCACGTAAGAGTTCTTGTTGTTTGCGCAAACTTGGTACATAAGACGCTCGCCATTTTTCTAAATAAGCTTCAACAATAAGTAATTCAATATAAGTTCGATGATTAAGTAATGAAATAGTAAAGTTATGATATTCATTGATTATACTAGATGTTTGAATTCTTCGAGAAACATCATTTACTGTAGAATTTGAGACAACTCTTTCGGGTTTCAACGTTTCATAAAACGATGCAGTTGATACTTTAAGTTGTGATTGTTGATAACTAATAGGTGTAACAAGAAGAAGATTTTCTGTTTTATCAGAAAGATGTGAAAAAAGACGATCAAGTTCAGTTTCAATTTCAAACACAAGTTTAATTGGTGTTAGACTAGGATTTTCTAAAATAGAAGCATATATAGTTAATAAATCCATCAAATTAGTTCAAATATTTACTTTCATAGAACGATGACTGAATTTGGAAACAACTTCGAAATAATGATCCTTGCCCAGACGACTTAATTTGCTTTAATAATTGATCGAATTTTTCACGCAAACGCTTATTTCGTTGTGCTATTTTGCGTGTTGACAGACTATTGTGTGTATTGAGCATAGGTGCCGATGTCCATTGTGTATTAGTCCATTGCGTAAATTTGTCTTCAAAACACTTAATAAGTTTCGTTGATAATTCAACATCATCATAATTACGATCAAAAACAACTATAATTGTTTGAATATTTGGAATAATTTGCATAACATTTGATTCTAAGAAATTTCCATTTAGATCTTCTTGAGTAACATAAATAATTTGAACATAAGTGTAAGGTTGAATNGTTTGAATTCTTTGAGAAACATCATTTACTATAGAATTTGATACTATTCTTTCGGTTTTCAGCGTTTCATAAAACGATGCAGTTGATACTTTAAGTTGTGATTGTTGATAACTAATAGGTGTAACAAGAAGAAGATTTTCTGTTTTATCAGAAAGATGTGAAAAAAGACGATCAAGTTCGGTTTCAATTTCAAACACAGGTTTAATTGGTGTTAGACCAGAGGTTTCTAAAATACAAGAATAGAATTAATAAATCCTTCAAATTAGTTCAAATATTTACTTTCATAGAAGGACGACTGAATTTGGAAACAACTTCGAAATAATGATCCTTGCACAGACGATTTAATTTGTTTTAATAATTGATCGAATTTTTCACGCAAACGCTTATTTCGTTGTGCTATTTTGCGTGTTGGCAGACTATTGTGTGTATTGAGCATAGGTGCCGATGTCCACTGTATATTAGTCCATTGCGTAAATTTGTCTTCAAAACACTTAATAAGTTTCGTTGATAATTCAACATCATCATAATTACGATCAAAAACAACTATAATTGTTTGAATATTTGGAATAATTTGCATAACATTTGATTCTAAGAAATTTCCATTTAGATCTTCTTGAGTAACATAAATAATTTGAACATAAGTGTAAGGTTGAATTGCTCGTATTAATCTGGTATCTGTTGCTTTACCATGAACATCGAAAATAGTAAATTGATCAGCGAAGAGTACATCTACACAACCATCTCGCCATGAACAATCAGCTGTATCAGTAAAGAAAGATTCACGACGTTTATCATTAAATAAATATCCAATGAGACTTGTTTTGCCTAAACCAGAAGCTGATGGACTGCCAAATTGTAGAACTACATGAAGATCAGTGATGCACAATGTTTCCATCAAACAATTAAAATTGATTCGATGACTAAGAGAATAAACAACAATGTATAAGTATGTGAATTCTTTATAAAAAAAAAAACTCAATTATCGAGCGAAATAACTTAGATCGACAGTTGCTGATAAAATTGGAGAACGATTAAATTCTGACATATTCATTTAAGTTTTTTCCAATATCAAATCTCTCTCTCTTTCATCACCTAATACGCTCTGTTAAGAAAAATAAAATACATCACAAGATGCAGCGTGAAAAACTCTACAATTTACAAGGAACTGTTCATTCCATAGTTGCATTTTTTTTTTCAAAATGGAGGAAATTCTGTACAACTAATTTTTGATGCAGCGAACAAGATATTTTTTTGGTACACGATCAGTTTCTTTTCTTATTGTTTTGGTTAAAGAGTTGTATCGAAAACCATAATCGATTGCCGAACAATGCGATAAAGTTAAAACGAATGATTCATTCATTAATGGCATAAAAAAAGGAATTTATCGTGTACCAAAACATTATTTTTTTTCGAAGTATCAAAACTTAGTGGCTCAGAATTTTGTTCATTTTGCAAACAAAAAGTACAATTATCAAATAAGCTATCCTTTGCAGATTGTAGAACTTTTCACGTTGCATATTGTGGTGTATTTTGTTTTTTGTTGTAACGAAGCGTATTAGGTGATGAAAAAATGAATCGGAAAAAAGAAACTTGTTTTGTCCAAGGGAGAGTATGACGAAAATAAGAGATTTCTATATATGTCGGACAAATTTGAAACAACAAGCTAGTAAAATGCGCTGAATGTATACATGTGTAATTTAACTCATGCTCTATCTATGTATATGTAAATGAAAATATAATAGAGGAGATCGAGCGAATAGAAAAAGGAATTTTTTTTATCCAGCGGAATAAAAGATCAAAGATTTTATATAAGTTAATTATAATAAAATTTTAATCACTTTAATAATAAGATAGAAAAAAAATCCTAAATACTTACTACATTGCTTTTTCTGTTGAATTCCAAAATGTATATGATAATGGAATAGGTAAATCATTTTTTCGAATGAAATTGCATAGAAAACGTTGACTATCATAAGACATATTCTCAAGCGTTTGAACAAGTAACATTCTTTTGGTAAGTTGATCGATGAGCATTTCATATTTATTGTCAGTATTATTTTCAGCTAATAATTCAACAGCTTCCGACAGAAGAATGATTATGTCATTGAGAGCATGATATCGTTTAAGACTATCAACGACATATGCGATTAAATAGTCGACTGGTAATATTTGATTGCTCAAAATTTGAAAAAGTATGTTTGCGTCGAGTGATTCATTAACAATGGTATTGAATATGGGATCCAGTGAACCTTCTGAATTTTCACAATGAGGTTTAAGGAATTCGAAGCAATGAATAATTGAAGGATTATTATAATTAACTTTGAATGAACATATGCAACGATTTGGTTGTAAAAAGTCAGGAATGTTGATGTTAAGACTTTCTTTTTCTACACTAGGTTCAACTGAAGAATAAATAATAGTAAATTCTTGCAAGATGTATTAAAAATCAGTAAAGATTTTCGACTATGAAACACTCTGTTTATTCTTAGGACATATGAAGATGGCTGAGCCTAGTCAAAATTTATATGTGAGAATCAATACTTCATTCTCGTTCTAGTATAACTTCGAAAATGAGATTGAGATCTTAGACTGATGCTTCTAAACTGAAGCTTTCTTTCAATTCAGTTGAAATGTATTATATACAATCGAAAGAGTAGTAAAAAAACTGGATAAATCTATCTAATTTAAAAACGCATTATTAGTTATTTTATCAAGGTATTATAAGATTGCTTTTCATGAAAACTGTAGTTTTGAAACAGAGCATAAGAAAACAAAGTGCTGAGAAAAACTTTAATCAATAATACTAAGCTTCGACACTTATACAACATATCATAATTACAATCAATTTTTCATATGATGTGGCCTATGGGTTGCCAGGAAATGAAGCCATGACTGATCTCAAATTATTATTAGTTTTCACTAAATTTCTGATGACTAATTTTCAATTTAACACAAAATAAACGGATCGATGACAAACATCAGAAAAACAGAAATTAGAGGTCGACAACGATATGTGTTACTTTTATGATAGTAGTATTTTCATGGTTACAATGTGGATATCAGTATAGTTACAAATTGATGAAAAGAATATCCATAATCGTACATCCTCGCACCTACTCATCGACAAGGTCCCAAAATAGTCATCATATCCACATATCTTGAAAATCTTAGAGACTAAAAACAAGTTTACAAGGCGTTTCAGTTGATTAAGATTGTTTGCAGAAATACATCAAAGGACACGACATTTTTAAGTGGCTGAACAACTAGAAGATACCTAGGTGTATCATCATGTTCATTAAGTCTATTATATCAATTGTGATCATCATGGTCATTAAAAATTCTATCTAAGTAACTAGCAAATGAATTTAGTTTCGCAAAAACTAATACAAAGCATAAAATCTAATTTTCAGGAACTTAATTTAATATAATGAATTCTCTTTAATTTGATACTAGTTGCATGAAAAATAGTGTGTTTCGTAAAGGAAAGTGTGAAAACTCCGAATACAATGGAGTGTTTATTAGACGTTTAGTATTTTTCGTTTCAATCATTCAAAGTGCCTGCGACAACACATATGAGGGATTCATTGATAATTTTTTGCTAACAAACTTTGAAATTTCAGATTCAGATAAATTCGTACACCCAATACAATTACTTCAGGATACGAATCTTTGAATTTCACTTTTAGTTTTGTTAGAGAGTTTTGATAGACAGTTTAAATTTTATCGTATTTTATTCTTTTTCATCTTTTAAAAATTTCGTAAAAAAACACATTGGTTAGGTTATCAAGATAGATTAATAACTTCCTAAAGTAACAATCAGCCATATTTATTTTAATTCTTCGTGTTTCTATGTAGATTTTACTTAGAAACGATAGATCAGTACATAACATACCCGTAACTATAATAGATGGTAGAAGAGATGGGTTAATAGTATTTTCTTCAGACAACCGAAATATTTTGACTGTTAATGTATCTCCAGTATTTTGAATAAGTCCTATGCATTCTGCATAAGACTTTGATTTTACGTCTTGTCCATTGATCTATAAAAAACACAGAGAATTTCATGAAAACTAGAATAAATTCTAATTCTATCACTTCAATTAAATGATCATCATTGCGCAAAGAAGCTTTATAAGCGTGGCCATTTTCTAATATGTTTACAATTTTATGCAAAGTTGGTAAACCTTCAGCTAGTCGAAACTTAGCACCATCCTCTAAAGTAAAATATATTATTTCTCAGTTTATGTTCGTATCGGTTCTTACCAATAGCACGACGAAGTGAAAATCCGAAGTTTTCGCCTTTCTTCCTTTGAAGTGTTGCTGTTAGATAATTCTCTGTTGTATCCATGTGGTTTTATGCAAACGATTAATGAATAAAATTGAATATTCGATTGAAAAAATATATAGTAATATTTATGTTTGACGTTCAGAAATAGACTCTATTATGTTGGTAAAAAATATTTTAAATCTATAATGTTCTTTATTAAGTGGAAAGGCAGATGGTCTTTTCTTTTTCTTTTTTCCCCTCTTTTTGCGTTCCTTATCTGTAACGATAAGGCCAAAGTAATCAAGATGGTCAAATATACTTTTACAGGCATAGTATTTTTTTTCTATAGTTTTACAGCAAAATTTGTCTGTTGTTCATTTGAAATAGATAGTGATATTTACTTACAATCTAGACTATCTTTGAATGCTTATTTATAATCTAACAGAATAAATCCAAAGTTTCAATAAAGCTCTCATTTGATAATAAAATCTCTTATTTTGTTTTTAATTAATCTGCCGAAGTTTTTGTGTTTAAATTACATGAAAATTGGAAATGTTGTATTCTCATTTAATTAATCATACTTTATGTAAACCTGAATCGAGTAAATCAATAAATATTCATTAATTACTTTCTTTAGTATATTTTCATCTATGATGAAAAGTAGTTTCAGATTGTGCCCATGTCGTCTTTTTTTTTCAAAAACCGACGGTAACCAGCGGTTTCAAATAAAATCGACGGTAACCGGTGGTTTTCATCAAAACCGACAGTTAACCACGGTTAACCAACGGTCAAAACCCCAACAGGTGGTCAAACGACGTTAACCAACGGTGTCGTTCAGTTATTTTTACCAAGTGTAACTGATGAAAAAGTGCAAGGCGGAAACAGTTAAAATAAGACTTGACTTTTTGATGTAACGTTGATGAAAAATAAAAAATAAAATTCTTTCTTTATTCAAAAATAATTAATTCAAAACGTATCCCTAAAGCGAAAGCTTTTTGGTTAGCATTCAGAAGATTTATCAGATTTATTTCTATATACGCGTAGCTTTTGAAATTAACATACATAACTATTCGGCACGCAAAAAAGATGCAAAAACTTGTTTTTTCTTTAGATGTACCCAGTAAAAAATGATGACGATTTTCAATCAGATTTTTCTGCAACAAAATCAAAATTAAAATCGATTGATAATTTTGATTATTGTTGATCCTGACTTCACTATTTTTTAATATTGTACGTTATCCTGTATGAAATCTTCTGATTAAAATCGGATTATTCTATACAAAATCAGGATTATCAATCGATTAATAATTTCGATTTATTGGAAAATAATCCGATTTTAATCAGAAAAT